TTCAGATGCTTGGCAACTGACTCCTATTTATGATGGTTGCAGTGTCCCAGAGTCATGTGATCATCTTTTCCATTCTTCTGGCAAGCAAAATCAATGGAGAACTCAGATTAATAATGGTATTACTAATTTAACAACTGCAGTGATTCACTTAATCACTATGGCAAGAAAGGTCGTAAAATGGGGCAAAACTCACTTAACAAATGTCTCACTTAGCAACAAATTTTGGGCTCAATTGTGGTCATAAGTTGAGGACTACCTATATTAAAATGGATAATATTTGATTGTGGCTATTATCTTCACAGTGCAGATGAAAACTAACTTTTCAAGTCAGCTGGCAGTGTTAAGAAGAATTTATGCAGAATATGAAAAGGCTTGGACATAATCTCAAAGTATGGGTTAACAGGAATATTTCACTTAAATGTTATCTCAAAGACTCAAACCTTTGGTACATTGGAAATTAAATGTGGCGATATTTCCAAATGTGAATGGAATTAGAATCCATTAGACTCAATAGTCAGAGAAATGACCTACAAGGTCCCTTCCAACTCTGTTAATCTGTAAATTGTCAGCTATCTGCATGTTGATGATAGTCCCTTTTACTCCATTTTTGGAACAGATTTTATAATACCGTGTTTCCCTGAAAATTTATTTATTTTTATTTATTTATTATTTGATTTGTATACCGCCCTACTCCCGAAGGACTCAGGGCGGTGAACAGCCAAGCAATAAAATACATAAATACACAAAATTTAAAACCAGATAAAATCAAATTAAATCATTTTGGCCCAGACAGATTAAAACACCCCAATAATTTAAAAACAGATTAAAATTTACATATTAAAAGAGGGAGGAGATTAGGCCAAGCCCGCTTGATGGAATAAAAAAGTCTTCACAGCGCGGCGGAAGGTGCGCAGATCCGGAATCCTCCGTATCTCTGGGGGGAGCTCATTCCAGACGGTAGGTGCCCCCACAGAGAAGGCTCTCCCCCTAGGGGTCGCCAGCCGACACTGTTTGGCTGAGGGCACCCAGAGGAGTCCCTCTTTATGAGAGCGTACTGGCCGGTGGGAGGCTATTGGTGGTAGTAGGCGGTCCCGTAGATAACCAGGTCCTAAGCCATGGAGCGCTTTGAAGGTGGTAACCAAAACCTTGAAGCGCACCCGGAAGACCACCGGGAGCCAGTGCAGCTCGCGCAGGAGAGGTGTCACATGGGAGCGCCATGACGCTCCCATTACCACCCGCGCGGCCGCACTCTGCGCCAGTTGGAGCCTCCGGGTGCTCCTCAAGGGGAGCCCCATGTAGAGAGCATTACAATAGTCCAGGCGGGAGGTGACGAGGGCATGAGTGACCGTGCGTAACGAGTCCCGATCCAGAAAGGGACGCAACTGGCGAATCAGGCGAACCTGATAAAAAATCCTCCTGGTCACGGCCGTCAGATGCTCTTCTAAAGACAGCTGTGAATCCAGGAGGACGCCCAAGTTGCGAGCCCTCTCCGTGGGGGCCAGTGATTCGCCCCCAATAGTCAGTGATGGCGTCAACTGACTATATCGGGACGTTGGAAACCACAGCCACTCGGTCTTGGATGGGTTGAGCCTGAGCCTGTTCCTCCCCATCCAGATCCGTACGGCCTCCAGGCACTGGGACATCATTTCAAGGGCATCGTTGGGGTGATCCGGGGTGGAGATGTACAGCTGGGTGTCGTCAGCGTACTGATGGTACTCCACCCGGAAACCACGGATGATCTCGCCCAGCGGCTTCACATAAATGTTGAACAGGAGAGGCAAGAGGACCGACCCCTGCGGCACCCCACATATGAGGGGCCTCGGGGTCGACCTCTGTCCCCCTGTCAACACAGACTGCGACCGGTCAGAGAGAAAGGAGGAGAACCACCGCAACACAGTGCCTCCCACCCCTAACTCTTCTAACCGGTGCAGCATGATACCATGGTCGATGGTATCAAAAGCCGCTGAGAGATCTAACAGGACCAGGACAGAGGAGCACCCCCTGTCCCGAGCCCTCCAGAGATCATCAACCAATGCGACCAATGCCGTTTCCGTGCTGTACCCGGGCCTGAAGCCCGACTGGAATGGATCCAGATACGTCGTTTCATCCAGGTGCTGGGGGAGCTGTTGCGCGACCACACTCTCAACAACCTTCGCCACAAAACGAAGGTTGGAGACCGGACGATAATTTACCAACATTGCCGGGTCCAGGGAAGGCTTCTTGAGGAGAGGCCTCACCACCGCCTCTTTCAAGGCGGCAGGAAAGACACCCTCACCCAACGAAGCATTTATAATCCCCTGGAACCAGCCTCATGTCACCTCCCGAGAAGCCAGCACTAACCAGGAGGGACACGGGTCCAATAAACAAGTGGTCGTGTTCAGTCTACCCAGAATCCTGTCCACGTCCTCAGGGGTCACAGGATCAAACTCATCCCAGATAACATTCTCAAGACCTGCCCCAGTCCCTCCCCCCTGAGACTACCCAGTCAGAGTCCAGATCTTCCCGAATCTGAGTGATTTTGTCATACAGATATTGAACAAAATCCTCGGCTCTACCCTCCAAGGGGTCCTCCCGCGCTTCCTGGTGGAGCAGGGAGCGGGTCACCCTAAACAGGGCGGCCGGGCGATTATCTGATGACGCAATAAGAGCAGCAAAATAACTACATTTCGTTGCTTTTATCGCCACTAGGTAATTCCTAATATGAGATCTTACCAGTGTCCGGTCAGATTCAGAGCGACTGGCCCTCCAACTACTCTCTAGGCGTCTTTTCCGGCGCTTCAACTCCCTCAGCTCCTCAGTAAACCAAGGAGCTAAATGAGATCGGCGCCAGGTCAGAGGCCGCAAAGGCACGACCCGGTCCAGAGCTCCAGCGGCCACCCTATCCCAGGCGGCCACTAGGTCTCCAGTCGAGGCATGTGCCAGAGCCTCAGGGAATGGCCCAAGCTCCATCTGGAACCTATCAGGTTCCATCAGGCGCCTGGGGCGGAACCATCTTACCGGCTCCGCCTCCCTGCGGCAGGGTGTAGCGGTTCGAAGGTCGAGACGAAGGAGAGAGTGATCAGACCATGACAAGGGCTCGGTGACTATATCCCCTATCTCGAGATCACTCAACCACTGTCCAGAGACAAAAACCAGATCCAGCGTGTTTCCCCCCGTGTGGGTAGGGCCATGAATTAACTGGGTCAGGTCCATAGCTGTCATGGAAGCCATGAACTCCCGAGCCACCTCAGACGCCTCGCCCACGGACGGCAGGTTGAAATCCCCCATGACCATAAGCCTGGGGATATCAACCGCCACCGCGGCGATGACGTTGAGTAGCTTGGGCAGGGCTGCTGCCACGTGGCAGGGAGCCAGGTACGTGATCAGCAAACCCATCTGAACCCCGTGGCCCCATTTCACAAGGAGGGATTCACAGCCGGTCGTCTGAGGGACAGTGGCCTCCCTCGGTTTCAGACCTTCCTTAATGATAACCGCTACCCCCCCGCCCCTCCCCTGTGACCTCGGCTGATGGAAAGCAAGGAAACCTGGAGGGCACATTTCAATGAGGGGAACCCCCCCTCCAGGCCCAACCAGGTCTCCGTAACACCTGCCAGGTCCGCACCCCCCTCCTGAATAAGATCACAAATGAGGGGGGCTTTATTTACTACGGACCTGGCATTGCACAGCATCAGCCGAAGGCCTGGGCCCTGAGGGTCTATGCAACCTGGGAGACGGGTGGAGCTTTGGGGGCCGGAGCACGCCATTGCTCGTAAACAGCAAGTGCGCGCTCCCCTAACACGATATGGCCCCCTGCTCCCACCATATCTACCTCTCCCACCCACAGTATTGATATTCAAAACACTATCCGGATGAGCTCTAACCCCCCCTCGATCCCGCCCCCCCCCACCGTGCTTCGCGGCCAGACCTGACCCCGACCCTCCCCCTTGTGGGTTTTCCCCCAAACCCACAGCCTGAGTTCTAATTTGACCCTCCCCCTCCCTGAGACCCCTTAAAAATTTAACTAAAAAATTTGATAAAAAAGCCATCAACCCCCTAGTTTTCACATGCCACCTCTCTGGGTCCCAAAGCCCGTCATTGAGGTGGGCCCTCGATAACGATGAGGGCCACATCTGCGAGAGGGGGGGAATCTCGCAGCGCAAGAAGATCCGCAGTCGTGTACATCTCCAAGATACAGCGATGGAGGCACGGAGCTCAAACAGGGGACTTCACAAAAGATGTAACACAGCCATTTGTTCATTAATGTACTATTGGTATCTCTACTGTCCTCCCACGACAGTAGGAGGGTCCTGATTATCTCATCCAATGGGAACGGCCTCCGGCCTGCCCTCTCACGGCAGGGCCCCCCAAGGGGCCGTAGATCGAAAAAAACTTCTCCGACAGACGAGACTCATGATGTAATAAAGGACCCCTCAACAGTTGCATTAATTGGCTGACCCATGGTCAGAGGAAGAGTTTATCAGTCTATCAGTCAGTCAGTGAGTCACTTCAGGGGCAAAGATGGGAAATCCTTGGCATAGTCTTATACTCAAGATCACATCCGATGTGAGGGGGGGGGGGAAGAAAGGAGGGGGAAGAAGGGAAAAGGGGAAGAAAGGGGGGGGGAGAGAGAGGACTCACTCAGGGCAAATAATGAGCCCATTTAGGCGGACACAGTACCCGGGAGGGGGAGGAAAAAGGGCTGGTATCCATACGAGGGAAAACCCTCTGTCACCCACCAGCCCTATTTTCCTCAGTTCTTCCAGACCCCAGCCTCCATTAAATGTCACAGGAGGCCTGTCTTATATTTTTTTGAACCCTGAAATAAGCGCTTGGCCTTTTTGCCATGCGCTCAAAATCCCAATTGGGCTTATTATCAGGAGATGTTTCATTTTGGGGGAAACAGGGTATATATGCTAAATAATTACAGAAGTAGAAATAGGAAGATTTTATTTCATATGCAAGAGCAATATATGTCTATTAACTATCAATAATAGTAATTATTTGTCAATTATATTTTGGAGATGTCAAAGGTTTGTGCCATTTTTGGAGGTTCTAGAGGAATTGGTCAGGCTGTTGCACAGCTCCTAGCACGGAAAGGATATTGCCTGGCTGTTATAGCAAGAAATCTGGACAGGGCTCAAGCTACTGTGGATAGATTAGGAGGTAAGTAAATGTTGATATTTGTTTTTCACATATACAGTACTTTAGCATATGGAACTACTAAAACAGCCAATTTTTTAATGGAAATTTGCTAAATTGTTTTAAATTGGAGACACTTGGAAAGTCACTTTATTTTTTTATGGGAAAAAAGTGTTATGTTGGATTAATATCCTGCTGTTTGATCAGGAGCTGAGGGCCTGGATATATTTTACAAAATAATATTTTTCACTAATGAATACTGTTCAGAAAAAAATTGCATCCTTACTGTTTGATGTTTTCAGTTATCTAAATATTACTACTACTTTTTACAATAGTTCCACTTTAAGAATTGCAAACCTGATTTTGAGTAATTTACATGTCATCATGAATTTCATTTCAACACAGCAGGTCATCTTGCACTGAGTTGTGATATCACCAAAGAAGAAGCCATCCAAAAAACTTTTAAAGAAATAGAGAACAAATTAGGTCATGTACGCTATCTGGTTAATGCTGCTGGTATCAACAGGTTAGTTTCACATATTGTAACATATGAAAGTACCTTGTATAAAAAGCAGCATGCAGTTAATTTTGTTTTAGAGAATAAAATACAAAAATTATAAAAAAAATATAGATAGAGACAGAGAGAGACACAGAGAGAGAATAGTTATACCTTCTTTACAATAGTTAACACTGAGGGGTCTCTGAGCTTGCTTGTTTTCTTGCAGACATTTCATACCCAAACTAGGTAACATCATCAGTGCTAGTAAGGAGTGCTGTTTGCTATTAGTTTATATTCTAGTGGCTTGCCTGTCAGTGTTGGTGTGGGTAGTCATAGAGATTCTTTGGCTGGGCTGTTGGCTGTTTGGTAGTTTCTTGATTTGGGTATTGTTTATTTGATTGGCCTGATGTTAACCTTGGAGTTAATCTATGCTCATCTGAGTTGCTGATTGCTGGCGGAGAGGTGCTTGAGTCTTTTTGTTCCCTTTTGGGCTGGTTGATTGTCTCTTTTGCATAGTCCATAGATGTTAATGTCTGTGTGTCTATTGATGGCTAATTTATCATAGTGTCAGACTTCTAGAAATTCCCTGGTTTGCTTTGGATGTTTTGAAGGGCTTTTGTTGGCTTGTTTGCTATGCTGATTCCATTTGGTTGTAGTAGTGGTGGTTTCTGAGATATTCTTGATGTATGGCAGTGTCATTCTTTTTAGGGGTTGTGTTGGTTGTGCTGTATTGGGTTGAGGGACTTTTTGATAAAGTTGCATTCATTTTGTTGGAATATGTTGTATAGATGCTCCATTTCCTTTTTCTGTTGTTCTGGGTTGCTGCAGTGCATTATGCTGCATTATGTTCCTAAGAACTGTTCTATGACTCCGCTGGCGGTTGTTCTCTGCCTAGCCGCCGTGAGAGGATGGTTGTGGCCCGTTCCGTTGGACCTATTCATTGCAGCTTTTCGGACTCCTCCACCGCTGTGAGAGAGTGGTGGTTATACCGGCCTGGTTTACTCCTATCTTGGCATTATATCTGCCCCTCTTTTTACCATCTTCGTTCCCTGTCGCTGTCTTACATCCACCCCTTATGTTTATTCTGGTGTACACTTCGGCGACCCTCCTCGCTCTGTGAGATGCCCCCCCTCTCGCAGACATGGCCTTCGAATTTATCGAAGGCCTACCTCAAGGACAGGTTTTGGAACCCCGAGTGGTGGCATGCTTCGAAGCGTGGTCTGAGGGGTTTTTTAATTAAGGCTTTTAACCAAATTTTAAGGGGACCCGGGAGGCGGGTGGTGACCAAAGGGGATGGGGGGGGGAAATCTACTAAGGTCGGAGCCGAGCCCGGCATGGGGTAACGGTTTGGAGGGTGCAGGACGAGGGATTGGGGAGGGGATGGAGGGCTATCCTAATGATGGATGTACCATCAGCACGGTCAATGGGAGGGGCAGATATGGCGTGAGCAGGGGGCCATATCATGTGTCGGGGGTGCGCACTCGCTGTTTGAGAGCTATTGCGCGCCCCGGTCCCCAAGGCTCCTCTCGGATGCTAGGTGGCACAGATACTAAGGATCTGGGCCTTCGGCTGATGCTATGCAATGCCAGGTCCGTGGTAAATAAGGCCCCCCTCATCCATGATCTCATACATGAGGGGGGAGAGGACCTGGCGGGTATTACTGAGACCTGGTTGGGCCCGGAGGGAGGGGTCCCCCTGGTTGAGATGTTCCCACCAGGTTTCAGAGCGTTCCACCAGCCGAGGGCCGGGGGGGGGGGGGGGGGGGGGGTGGCGGTCATTATTAAAGAAGGTCTCGGTCCGAGGGAGACCACTGTGCCTCAGATTGCCGGACGTGAATCCCTCTTTGTGAGATGGGGTCATGGAGTTCAGATGGGCCTGTTGCTTACGTACCTGGCTCCCTGCCACGTGGCAATGGCCCTGGCCCTGCCAGGTTTATGGTCATGGGTGATTTCAACTTGCCGTCCGTTGGTGAAATGTCTGAGTTGGCTCGGGAGTTCATGGCTTCCATGATGGCCATGGACCTGACCCAGTTAGTTCATGGCCCCACCCACAGGGGGGGTCACACTCTGGACTTGATTTTTGTCTCTGGCCAGTGATTGAGTGGTCTTGTTATAGGGGATATAGACATGGAACCCTTGTCATGGTCAGATCACTCGCTCCTTCGCCTGGACCTTTGAACCGCCATACCCCACTGCAGGGAGGCGGAGCCAATAAGATGGGTCCGCCCCAGGCACCTGATAGATCCTGATAGGTGCTTGGGCCACTTCCTGAGGATCTGGTGCATGACTCGGCTGAGGACCTGGTGGCCGCCTGGGACCGGGCAGCTGGTGGGGCCTTGGATCGAGTTGTGCCTTTGCGGCCTTTGACCCAGTGCCGATCCTTCGCGGCTCCTTGGTTCACCGAGGAGTTGAGGGAGATGAAACGCCAGAAAAGACACCTAGAGAGCGGTTGGAGGGCCAGTCTCGCTGAATCTGATCGAACACTGGTAAGGTCGCATATTAAGACCTACCTAGTGGCGATAAAAGCGGCAAAGTTTAATTACTTTTCCGCTCTTATTGCATCAACAGAGAATCGTCTGGCCGTCCTGTTCAGGGTGACCCACTCCCTCCTCCACCTGGGAGTGCGGGAGGACCCCCTGGAGGGCAGGGCTGAGGATTTCGGACGATACCTGTATGACAAAATTGCTCAGATCTGGGGGATTTGGACTCTGACTGGGTAGATTCGGGCAGGGTGACGAGGAACAGTCCTGAGAACGTTATCTGGGAAGAGTTTGACCCTGTGACTCCTGATGATGTGGACAGGATTTTGGGGAGACTTAGTGCAGCCACATGTTTACTGGACCCGTGTCCATCCTGGTTAGTACTGGCTTCCCAGGAGGTTACATGAGGCTGGCTCCAGGGAATTATCAACGCTTCGTTGAGTGAGGGTTACTTCCCCACTGCCTTGAAAGAGGCGGTGGTGAGGCATCTCCTCAAGAAGCCTTCCCTGGACCTGGCAGTATTAGCCAACTACCGTCCTGTCTCCAACCTTTGCTTTGTGGCGAAGGTTGTTGAGAGTGTGGTCGCGCGACAGTTTCCACAATTCCTGGAGGAAATGTCTTATCTAGATCCGTTCCAGTCGGGTTTCAGGCCTGGGCACAGCACGGAAACAGCATTGGTCGCATTGGTAGATGATCTCTGGAGGGCGCGGGACAAAGGTTGCTCCTCTGTCCTAGCCCTGTTAGATCTCTCAGCGGTTTTTGATACCATCGACCATGGTATCATGCTGCACCGGTTGGAGGAATTGGGGATGGGGGCCACTGTATTATGGTGGTTCTCCTCCTTTCTCTCAGACCGGTCGCAGTTCGTGTTGGCAGGGGGGCAGAGGTCGACCTCGAGGCCTCTCATATGTGGAGTGCCTCAGGGGTCGGTCTTCTCGCACTTTCTATTCAACATTTATGTGAAGCCGCTGGATGAGATCATCCATGGCTTTGGGGTGAAGTACCATCAGTATACTGATGACACCCAGCTGTACATCTCCACCCCAGGCCACCCCAACGATGCCCTTGAAGTGATGTCCCAGTGCCTGGAGGCTGTGCGGATCTTGATGGGGAGGAACAGGCTCAAGCTCAACCCTTCCAAGACTGAGTGGCTGTGGTTCCTGGCATCCCGATATAGTCAGTTGACTCCATCACTGACTATCGGGGGCGAGTCTTTGGCCCCCGCGGAGAGGGCGTTCAATCTGGGAGTCCTCCTGGATACGCAGCTGTCCTTGGAGGAACATCTGATGGCTGTAGCCAGGGGGACCTTCTGTCAGGTTCGCCTGATCCGCCAGTTGCGGCCCTTTCTTGATCAGGATTCCCTGTGCACAGTCACCCATGCCCTCGTCACCTCGCGCCTGCAACGCTCTCTACATGGGGCTCCCCTTGAGGAGCACCCGGAGGCTCCAACTGGTCCAGAATGCGGCTGCGCGGGTAATTACGGGAGCCGCCTGGCACTCCCACATAACACCGCTCCTGCGTGAGCTGCACTGGCTCCCAGTGGTCTTTCGGGTGCGCTTCAAGGTGTTGGTTACCACCTTTAAAGCGCTCCATGGCATAGGATCTAGTTATCTTCGAGACCGCCTGCTGCTACCGATGACCTCCCAGCGACCTGTGCGCTCCCACAGAGAGGGCCTCCTCGGGGTGCCATCAGCCAAAAAATGTAGGCTGGTGACCCCCAGGGGGAGGGCCTTCTCTGTGGGGGGCACCTATCCTCTGGAATCAGCTGCCCCCAGAGATAAGGAGAATCCAAGACCTCGGTGCCTTCCGCCGTGCCCTTAAAACTTTCTTTTTTCATCAAGCCGGGCTGGCTTAACATATTTTTAAATATATTTTTAAAATATTTTTAATTGGTTTGTTATTTTAAATTGGGGCCAAATTAATATATATCCTTTTAATTGTTTTTAATGTTTGTATTGTATGTTTTTATCTGGCTGTACACCGCCCTGAGTCCCTCAGGAGAAGGTGCGGTATATAAATTCGAAATAAAATAAAATAAATAAATAAATTTGAACTCATCTAAATAAAGTCCTTATACAGCTTCTCTTGTGGGAGGTTGGGTTGTTGCTTTGGTAGTGGAGCACCTGGTTAGTATGGATGGTTTTTCTGTATACTTGTGTTTCTAGTTTTCATTGTGGTCTTGACTGATCAGGATGCCCAGGAAGGGTAGTCAGTTGCTGTTTTCTTCTTCTCTAGTAAATTGGATTCCTTTAAAATAATGTTTTGGGTATTCTCTAATTGGTCCTTTTTTATTATGGTGAAAGTGTTATCTACATATCTGATCCATATTTTTGGTTGTATTTGTGGAAGTGCTATGGCTTCTAGACATTGCATGACAATCTCCACTGTAAGTCCTGCAAGTGGTGATCCCATAGATGTACTTTTAATTTGTTGGTAAATTTGTGCATCAAATTGGAAATATGTAATTAAGCAGAGGTTTATGAGATCCATAATCCTCAGTGTTTCAATCTTCATGTATTGTTAAGTCAGGTGTGCGGTGGAACGGATG